AGTTCTTCAATCTGTTGAGTTAGATCGGAAACAAGGCGGAGAATGGTCCTGACGTCTGGTGTTACAGGGTTTGGGAGATCGATTGATTGGCCATGTCCAGTGAGGAAGCAGGTCACCATGAACTCTAAACTGAACAGTCACATAATAGAAAACAACATTATAATTACGAAATAGAAAAAGTTGCATAATTTGTTACATATTCAAATCAAACTGTTGATGCGAGTGTAATAGTTTAATCCTTATCCAACTAATAGTATTACGATGCATGGATAAACAGGACATATCCCTGACGGCTCAGACACTGTACTACTCCAGCCGACACATCAGAACAGTAATTCGCCCAAATATTACAACACTAGGGAAAATATGACGGTGGAACAATTAAGACACTAAGAGCAGGAATTCCAGGAGTGTCTGCCCCATCGACAACACTCACCATGTTATTGATAAACTGACTGAAGAACAAAGCAATCCTACGAATGACCCACTAAAGATTGAAGAGTGTGTCAAAGTATTAAAAAATATGCGTAATGGACAGTCTCAAGGCATAGATGGTTTCTCTGTAGAGTTTTATCAGAAATACTTTAATATTTTTATTTTAAAATCTTTCAATCAATTATTAAGGGATCAACTAATGTCAACTAATCAATGTCGGGGTAATTAAAATGTGTTCCGAAACCTGGGTAATCAATATTATATTTAAAAAACCGGAGACCTATCGCTTTATTAAATGATGATTATAAAATTGCAGCATCGTGCATTGCCAATAGAATAAAACCAATTTTATTTGCCATTACAAGTGAAAGTCAAGTGGGATTTGTCAAAGGACGATATATAGGGGGATGCACGATGATGATTAATGATATAATCGAAAAATCAGAAAAAAACATGATCAGTCTGGGACTTTGCTGAATAGTAATGGATTTTGAAAAGCTATTCGATTCCATTAAGTGGTCATTCATAGAACGAAGTCTGCTTTTTTGGTTTTAATATTACATTGTTAACTGTTTTAAAACACTATATCTGCATCCGTTGAAAATATTGGTTTTCTCTCCCCATTTTTTCAAGTGAATAGAGGAGTATGACAGGGGATCCCCTTTCGCCATGTCTTTTTATTATTTGTATTGAATTATTAAGTGCTGCTATAAAAAGTGACCCTAATGCCACGGATGTACTCTTTAATAACTCTGAGAACCTGATCAGTCAGTATGCCGATGACTCAACAATGTTACTTGGTTATGATGAGAGATCTTTATCTACGGAGAATGTTCTGGTCTAAAGACCAATTTTGATAAATCTGAACTGTATTGATTGGGGTCAAACGGGGATGTAGAGAGAAAACTGAACATAGTATAATTTATCATGGAATCACCGTGAAAAGTTTAACTTCTAAGGAGTGACATATGATTTATCTAAAGACAACATATATGAAGATATTTTTACAGTCAGTCAATTCTCTCCGATTGGTCTTTTAGGCACCTCCCTATTATTGATGAAATATTTCAGCAATTGTCGTTAAAACATTGGCATTCCCAAGTATTATACAAATATTAACTGTTATTTATAGACCCGATAAAAAGGTCCTTAAACATGTCAAGCCCTATTTTTTTCGTTTCGTATGGAACAGTAGGGTTGATAAACTAATAAGCAATACCATAAAAGGTGATTTTCGAGGAGGTTTGAAAATTTCAGATATTTTTTCCTATAGTTAATCCTTGAAGCTGATGTGGATCAAGAAATGTTTAGATCGAATCTGATTGGAAAAGGTTATTTATTGATGATATTGAGCATATTGAAGGGGATGGAATCTGGAGTTTAACAAAATTTTGAGAGTATCATTATATATATGCCTTATTGAAAGTTGTAAGAGGACTCCTCTCTACCGTTTCTCTGACTGGTATTTTGGAATTCACAGGGGGTTGATTTATTAATAATTTATTGTCAATACTATCTGCCCATCTTCGTTGCCAGTTACGTATGATGAAACTACTTTTGCAGCTTTGTTGACTTAGTCCGTTTCCACGAATTTCAACATGACTAGGGGCCCATAGACACGATATATTACAGTATTCTGCAACAGAGTTATGAAGGATACGATGCTGAATGTGACTTTTATTAAAATTGCAAGAATTTAAACCTTGAAGAACGGATAAAAAACACAACATATTATAGCTTTTGTGATCTACTGATACCCCTAAGCCAAGCATATATGTGTGGGTGTCCCTTCTTAGCGAAACAATTTAATCTGTATTAGAATTCTCTCAATGGTGGTCTAAACTTGTCTTACTTAGAATAGCCAAAGTGTGTTGACACAGAATCATCATGACTGCTATGGCATCTCAAACCTCGGTTACAAAGTGACCCACTGATAAAAGGGATATAATCTAAAGTTTGACATGTTGTTTACTGTTTTACATTGATGTGCAGTTAGGAACGCAATAACGTACATACCGATAGCAGAACTGTTTATTTCAGGTAGACAATCTCCTTGGACCGATATTGTTTTTCTCAAGGACACATTTCAGTGTTGTTATCTACTACTTGCTAAATTATTATTCTGTTATATCAGTATTCTAGTAAAACTTTCCCGTATCTCTAGATTTCGACCTTTAACTAGTTGTGTGATTTACGGAATGTTTAGACATAAACAGGAGTCCAGAAAACCCTTAGCAAGGCACAATGGTAGTCATCTATTGTTCAGGTCCTATGCTAGACTAACTGATTTGATTTTGAATTTATTTCATTTAAGATGTTCTCGCTAACACTCGGTAAGGTATTTCCATTATACGAGTTAGTTTATCTTGAGCTCGTCCCAGGTAACTGTTGTTTCATTTTATTTGAACTGTTATTATCCTACCTATATCTATATAAAGGTTCAGCCAATACCTGTTCCACTGATCAGGTAACTCAATTAGGTAGAGTGGACCTATTGGGATCGTTTCCAAAATGGTTTATTAAAACTATTGTCAAACCGGTAAAATATTTCCAGTGCATTGTTTTGCGGAAATTCTTAACTGTAGTATATTATAAGTTTGTTTGACGAGGCTCAGATAAATCATGAGTCAGTTTAAAAAACTTAAAATCACATATAAGGAGACACTGTAGTCTAGTGGTAGGACGCCGGGCTCGTGACTGAAGGGTTGTGGGTTCGAGGCACGACACTGTGTTGTATCTTTGAGCAAGATACTTTACTCAGTTTGTTCCAGTCTACTCAGCTGTAAATGAGTACGTGGTTAGGCAGTGCTAGAATTGTTGAATGCTAGTGCCGAAATAGCAGCACCGGCTGTATGTTCCCCAGAGAGTTGGTCCTTTAAGGACGGATAATACACCCACTGCCCTGGTACAGCCCCTGCAATCCAGTGTTTCATACATGGTACTCTACAATTTTATTTGTCTGTTCAACAAGAAAAACATTGTAATTCTTAATTTCAAAGAGCTATGTGGGTTGCTATGCCTATTTCCCCAAAGCTTTGTCCGCGACTGCGCGCGTGCCGTGTACTGTCATGACGCCCTTTAGGTATTTTTTTTTTATACAGGTAGCTCTATCGGAATCCTGTTTCTATATTCAAGGCTATGGCTATTGTTACATGCGTTTCACGATAAAGACTCAACAAAATACTTATTTCGCGTTATTTCTAAAAATTTAAAACAAATTATATGCTGTATGTAACACAAGATCGTACAATCATTACCAACAAGTTTTGAAAGGATTTAGTTTCCATTACTACTGCCTGCGTCATGCCGTTACCTGATTTCTTACAAAATCCACATCTTGATTTTGTTTTTCCTGCACCTATGATTGGCAAAATGATATATATAATTTTCGAATAGCATATCTTACACGTGAATTGCAATATTACATTGTGCTACAGCCTTCCTGCATTTCAAACAAATGAGACTGTCCTCAACGATGAATTTTCCCGTATTTTCGGTAACTATTTGCGATAATAACAGTTCATTTTTTTTTGCGTGGCCTTTTTATTCTGACACAACAATCACCCATTTTTTTGTATTTCAGCATCATTTGCTGGGTTTAAATAGTAGATAAAATTTCTATTGCCGATTCATTGGAAGGTAAATCAATTCATAAATATCATTTAAAATGATGTCTTATTTACAAAGCGTAGCTGTACTGTACACGTGTACAGTGAGTCGTTGACATGATTCCTTATAGAAAATAAATCGATAGGTATGTTATTAAAATTAAATAAAATGTTCCATTGATTTGAAAAATATTTTATTACTTAATTAAGGAAAAAGATAGCATGCCTAATTATTAAAATTAAAAATGGAACCCGAACATGGATTCGAACTTGCACCGTTCACTTCGTCTGGCCAAAAGTCAACTGTGTTACACATTCGGCTACATCGGACATAGGGAATACAAACTGTTTCAACCTAAGAAACACCTGTCGCAGTTTAAGAAACTCGCTCATCCCTGTTCTTCTTTATTTTAGGCACTTTCCCAAAGGAGGACCACTTTTCCGGAATACGATTTGTTTTTGCATATTCAAAAGTTGGTCCTCGGATGGGAAAATGTCGATACTATTTTTTTAAGTCTGGGAAACTCCATCACTTTCATAAATATAGTGAATACGGCTATATTTGCAGTATCATATTAACAATACCTAATATCTCAGCAGTTCAAAAATTCATATTTAATTGATTTTATATCTATTCTATGCATTTTTGCTGCTAGAAATTATTTACTCATTAATATTATTTTTCCGTTTTCATACATGCCAACTTAGGGAAATATGGGGAGATTTCCACCATAGCTCTTTCCAAAAATCAGTCATCTTTGAAAATGTTTTTTTTTCCTGTCTGATAATTGTTTTAAATCATAATCTTTTGTATGTTTGATATGGTGTTTCTCGTTTCAATTTGTTGTGCTTTCCTGATGACTTTGAGTTTATTTTTTCCTTGATGTTTTTAACACTCTGGCATATCTTGTTTTATCTCAGGTTTAAAGAAATTGTACAACAAAATAAAAAGTAATTTCAGACATTTCTTTATTTCACGCATAAAAAGGAACACTTGAAGTGTTCCAATATATAGGTTAACGTAAAAGAAATCCGGAAAAATAAGTCCGGTGATCCCACAACGTTATTGCGCTTGGTGAACTTATATACCACACTCTGATAAGAACAACGTCTCCGAGTGATAATTCCAACAGCACCATATTTGTATCTTTGGCACCGGACTCATGCATGGACTTTATTACCCCAGTTCCGCTGGAGATGCCATTTCTTGTAATTTCTGTCTCTACCATACCAGTAGAACCCAAGGCAGTTGTCCAGCTGAAGACGTACATGCCGGGTTGGGGACAAGTAAAGGCCCCGGTGGTAGGGTTGTACCCGCCACCACGGTTGGTAACCACTGTGCCAAATTTGATGGTGTAATCAACCATTACGTTGTTTACATTGCTTGTAAGTCGAGCGTAAAATGCGACCATGCCTTCCAAAATACCTGAACATAGAATAAAAATGATTAGTACGATGTCATATTTATGTCATATTTATGTGATCAATTACCATTTTACGAGTCACGTATTTCCACATAATCGGAGAAGATGTCGACATAAAATATGAAAAAACACGCGATGATATTTTAATTATTTCAAAATATTTTCACGTTTCCCGAGAATTTTTTTGCTGTGATATTTACCAAGTAGACAGGTACCTCGATTTACATGCAAAAACAGAACAAAGCTAAAGATAACCAATCGTTTTCTACGAAATTGTCATATGATTCTGTAATAGCTTATGCTAATTAGCTTATCATTTATCCTCGTTTTACAATTCGTATATCGATAAGTTTAACTTGATTAAAAGGTAATAGACAGAAAGTGAAAAAAGACAAAACGTTATACTACACAGACGAACAATGTTAACAGGGGCATGGGTACAAAACGTTATACTACACAGTCGAACAATGTTAACAGGGGCATGGGTACAGAACGTTATACTACACAGACGAACAATGTTAACAGGGGCATGGGTACAGAACGTTATACTAAACAGACAAACAATGTTAACAGGGGCATGGTACAGAACGTTATACTACACAGACGAACACTGTTGACAGGGGCATGGGTACAAAACGTTATACTACACAGTCGAACAATGTTAACAGGGGCATGGGTACAGAACGTTATATTACACAGACGAACAATGTTAACAGGGGCATGGGTATAAAACGTTATACTACACAGACGAACAATGTTACCAGGGCCATGGGTACAGAACGTTATACTACACAGACAAACAATGTTAACAGGGGCATGGGACAGAACGTTATACTACACAGACGAACAATGATAACAGGGGCATGGGCACAGAACGTTATACTACACAGACGAACAATGTTAACAGGGGCATGGGCACAGAAGCAGGATGATCAATAGTACTAAACGGGCATGGGAAAAAAACGTGTACCATTTCTGTAGAATAACAAAATCTTCTCTGATAGGTCTAGAGTAAAGAAACTTACCGACTCTGTCAGTCTTTTCACCACTAATCCTTTCTCTTCCTGTCATTTCTTGTGCTCCACGGACTTTTGTTAATGCATCAGGTGTGCGCTTCGTATTGGTTTTGGTTTCATTTGCCCCATTCCCTTTGTCACCTGCGATATTTGGTATGGGTGTGAAGTCTTCATCAAGAGGATTCTGTTCCATTTTACATTTGCCAAGTTGCCTCTGTAAGTTTTCAGTTTTATCTTCCAAATTGTCGATTTCTACCTGCACATTTGTTCGGGCGGTTTCCAAAACTTGAACTCGATCGGTCAATTCCGACACAATACGAATTAGTGTTGTGACGTCATTATTTCTAGAGCCGGGATCCACTGTTGTCAAACCTTGACACTGTGTTAGCAAGGTAAGGGATAGGAACACGACCCCTAGATATCGTTCTCGCTGAAAAGTGAAATAAAAATAACCCTGATTATAAATAAACAAAAAGGATGTTTCTTGATAGTTGTCAATAATTTTATCGAGGTAAAGAACAAACAAGCTGTTTTATTTTCAGGGAGGTTGTGGTCATGATTTCTAATTAAAATAGTACGAAATAAGAGAATATACTATTATTGTCGACACAATAGAACAATACAAATAGAAATGGGAGGAATGTCAATCATTATTATACACACATAGTCTGTCGGCAGAACCAGACATATGTTTATATCCGATAGGCTTAACCTTGAGAATAACCTCTAATCAATAATGTGACCAAACATACATGATGTTACCTAAATTTAATCAAATATAATTTTATCACAACTGCCAAGTGAAAATACAAACATCTGACTAATTCAGATGTGTATTGAGGATGGACTGTTTGGGCACGTGAAATAAATGCATGTCACAAAACCGACATTTAAACTATAAATTAATTAACAAGAGGCCCAATGGGCCTTAACGGTCACCTGAGTTATGTAAAAACTAATGTTATCGATATTGCCAAATGAAAAAGAATTCATTTTGTAACAAAGGTAACTTGAACTACATGTAATGCAAAAAGTAGTGTGAAAGATCTGGGTAGTATATGTACTATGTACAAATAGTGGTTCTGTCAGTCAGCTGAATTTTGGTGAAGAACCTTAAGACCCTTCCATCTATGAAGAGTATTTGATTCTACCATATCTGAATCCTGAGAAGAAGATTTTTGAAATTTTAGTCAATTTGACCCTTTCTGGCCCCGCCCCTCAGGCCCCTTGGGGCTGGGGACTATATAATTCACAATTAAACTATAGTAAAGTTTACCCCTCCAGGGGGAAACGTGAGACCCCAGGGTCATAAAATTCACAATTTTGGTAAAGCACATTAAGACCTTTCCATATATGAAGAGTACTTGATTCTACCATATCTGGATCTTCCCCTGGGGGGTCAGTCAGGGCTGATATGTGCATACCATCAAACTGCTATCAAATACTGATAATACTAACCAAGTTTGAATTAATTCCAATGGAAATTAAACAAATGTTGGTCCAAAATGTGATTTCCCTATATAAACTATAATAAAGTTAACCCCCTCCCCAGGGGAAACGTGAGACCGCAGGGTCATGAAATTCACAATTTTGGTAAAGCACCTTAAGAACCTTCCTTCTATGAAGAGTATTTGAGTCTACCATATCTGGGTCTTGAGAAGATGATTTTTGAAATTTCAGTCAATTCGACCCTTTTTGGACCCACCCATCAGCCCATGGAGGTCAGTCAAGGCTGATATGTGCATACCATCAAACTGCTATCCAATACTGATAATGCTCACCAAGTTTGAATTAATTCCAATGGAAATTACACAAATGCTGGTCCAAAATGTGATTTCCCTATATAAACTATAGTAAAGTTTACCCCCTCCCCAGGGGGAAACGTGAGACCCCAGGGTCATGAAATTCACAATTTTGGTAGAGCACCTTAGGACCCTTCATTTATGAAGAGTATTTGATTCTACCATATCTGGATCTTGAGAAGAAGATTTTTGAAATTTTAGTCAATTTCACCCTTTTTGGCCCCGCCCCTCAGGCCCCTGGGGGCTGGGGACCATATAATTCATAATTCTGGTTGACCTTTGGCCATGGAAGGTTTCTGCAAAATTTTATTGAAATTGGTTTCGGGGTTTTAGAGAAGAAGCACGACGCACGACGGACGACGCACGACGCCGGACAAAAGGCGATCGCAATAGGTCACTTGAGACTTTGTCTCAGGTGACCTAAAAACTACTACTAAATATACGATTGGAATAGATTAATCTAAGCGATTGCTTAAGCTAGGGACATTGATCTGATATATCATATATTTGATCAGACATCAGACTGGCCAATCACAAGCCTTTATTATTCGTTGTTAAAACAGGAGAACAATCCATCAATTATAGGGTACTGACTGTGATCAATGTAACACTGTAATATTTGTAAATGAAGTGTTTCTATCGGGAACATTTTAAAAGACTGGAATAAACAAAGTGTACGGAAAAATGTCAGAATGTTGCTTTTAAAAATGTGTTTATAAATGTATTCAAGATGTTTCATTAAAAGTTTAACTCAGCTTAGTTACTGATACAGGATCTATAAAGATAGAAACGAAGGTCTCATCTTCAAACATTTTTTTTTTCTTATTTCAAATGATAAAAGTCAATAATTTTGAATGCTCATAAACATGAACGGAAAATTGGTTGCTTAATTATTATCATTACCATTAAACCATTACTTTAAACATGAAGTATTCACACTTGTCATTGCGACAATTGAGACTCTACGGTAGATAACGAACTTGACTTGCTTGGAATCAATCGCCGAAATGACTACGAATTTTGAGAGCTCTAAAGATGTTTTAAAATTATTTGGAATCAAGCGCTCAATAGACTATGATTTTGAAGAACTCTTCTGATCAAACGTTGATAAACGTATTACTTCAAACACAAGACACGATTAGAGTTAAACAAATAAAACTTTCATTTGTACGTGGATGCATAAACAACTACGACAGAAATTGCATCTATACCTCTTAGCTGGAAACGAAAACTATCTTTCCTTATGCAGTTAACAATAAACTAGACAATCTAGCCTATTTATAAGCACACATGACACATTTCATCAATCGGCATTGAGGGAAATGGGCATTATATAGCTGATAAAGGCAGAACGAAATAAAAATGTCTATTAGTAAAATGAAAGCATGAACGGACACAACCTTACCTGACCATGGGGAGACATGCTTCTTCTATCCACAGTCAGTGTCACACTGCCTCGGTGAGTAATGCTGTCACTTTACAGATTAGATATTTGCGATAACAAAACAAACATAAGATCACATCCTAGTGCCTATACATAGAAGTCTTTACGACTAATTCCCTACAAGAGGTAATGCGATGGTCCACATACTTCAGTAAAATTCTGGCCTTATAAACTAATTTGGCAGTATGTCACTAAATTGTTAAAAAGTTAAAATGATACGTTAACATTCGTTGGCAATAAGGAAGGAGGAAATATATATCGAGATTTTCAATATCTCTAAACATGACTCTCTCTCTTTCTCTCTCTCTCTCTCTGAGAGAAACAACTATATTTTAACACTTGTCCGTTGAATATAATTCCCAGCGAATCTTTCTTAGACAACTTAGACCAATTTCAAGATGTGGAATGTAACGTTTCTTACTTCACACTCTACCAGTTCAGTGTTCTGTCTGTCCCGTATTCAGCCTAACCCCTTTGTTATCAGCGGATCAAATGAATGGATTTAAACAAGAATGAATTCCGCACACGTTGACGTCCTTTATATCTGTGGTGATCATACGTCCTAACTCTGTCATCGAAGTTGTTTGTCTGCCATTGTTGTACAGTCAGAAAGAGGCAGGTTAAATCACCACGAGTAAAGTCGTCTTTTGAAATATTAATTTACAAATTCATAACGCAGGCTAACAAAGAAAAAAGAGATTCTCACTTCCGAAAAACAGTAGAGGATGTACTACCAACACGACTTGTAGCAGACCTGGGGTCTCGATAAACATTACCTTCCGATGTTTAATACCAAAACATGAATTAAAAATGTAACAGAACAATGAGAAGCACTGTATCGTTGTTATATTATATATAAACGAGGGGCACCATATCGTGGTTCTTTTTTTTTTTTATATATATATAAGCGAAGGGCGTTATATCGTGGTTTTATTTGATATCAAGGAGTGGCGTTATATCGTGGTTTTATTTGATATAAGCGAGGGGCGTTACATCGTAGTTTTATTTTATATAAGCGGGGGAGCTATATCGTGGTTTTATTTTATAAAAACGAGGGGCGTAATATCGGGGTTTTATTTTATATAAACGAGGAGCACTATATCGTGGTTTTATTTTATATAAGCGAGGGGTGTTATATCGTGGTTTTATTTTATATAAGCGGGGGAGCTATATCATGGTTTTATTTTATAAAAACGAGGGGCGTAATATCGGGGTTTTATTTTATATAAACGAGAAGCACTATATCGTGGTTTCATTTTATATAAACAAGGGGCACTATATCGTTGTTTTATTTTATATCAAGGAGTGGCGTTATATCGTGGTTTTATTTGATATAAGCGAGGGGCGTTACATCGTAGTTTTATTTTATATAAGCGGGGGAGCTATATCGTGGTTTTATTTTATAAAAACGAGGGGCGTAATATCGGGGTTTTATTTTATATAAACGAGGAGCACTATATCGTGGTTTTATTTTATATAAGCGAGGGGTGTTATATCGTGGTTTTATTT